TTGGTATCAGATGTTTGCAGGCGATCAACCTAGGTTTCGTGCTAATTGGCAGTTGTCAGAACAGACATGAGTTCCTCGAAGATTGCACATACGCCTTGCTAACTAGTGAGTGCCGAAAAGCACGAAACCTATGTTCAAGGTTGCCTGCAGACTACCTCCAACCGTCTACTACCAACAAGCCACAGTGCAGTGCACCGTGTTGGTGAGTCACCTAGCATGGTGTGCACACTGCAAACTTGACTGATAGAACTCAGAACTAAATAAAGTACTAGGCACATTAAACTAGTTACTAGCTGGTGTCCAATCAGAGAGATGTAAATTAGTAACCAATCAAGACAATGGTTATCAGGAGATACAGTCATATCACCAATCATGCAGAAGTCAAATAAGCACTAAAGATGTTGTCTAGATGGACAATGAAAGCTTCACAGTTAATTCAACCAGCTCACAGAACCCAACCAAGTCACATTCATCCACCTGAGCTACAGGTCTTCTCGATTACTTCAAAAAAAGGCCTAGCGGAACCCGTTAGACGACTTTGAAAGTCTTCTTAACGTCAGTTTTGTATTCTCTATTCACGAGGAATTTATCAAAAAACATATTCTTGCCTGAATTTCCCTTTGTCTTCTAAATAATAATTCAGTTACCGAAACCAAGAATTCTTAATATTTGAACTTGGACTATAGCGAGCCGACAGGGCGCATGCATGTATACACTATCCAATATTCTTATTCCTTACTCATCTCCATCTTTCAGCTATAAGTTACACCAATTCATGTGAACCAATGATTGGAATAATAAGATTCCATTAAATTGACGACGTCTTTCTTAAGTCTATGTGGGATAGATTTAATTTATAAGTAATATCTCACGTATTCACCATTCCTTCTTTATAAATTACCATTATGAAAACTAAGTAAACGTTTAGCGACTGTTTATTACACTGATGACAAGATTTAATCGTGTAAGCTTTTGAAAGAGAAAATTTGAGATTACTTGCTATGAAAGCAGAAATCAAGACTTGAAAATATTTATAAAATCAGGATACAAATCACCCTTGTCCCAGTTATTGGGATCTCGATAATATCACTGGGTAAAAGGATCCATTACTGAAAATGTGGATGATGAGATTTTAATAAGGGGAAGAATAAAGAATAGTGCCCACGGAGTACGACCGCACCAGTGACCTTGAGGTGACCAATGAGAGAAAGCCATGTACTGTACATAAAATCCCTTTAATTTCCTAAAAAGATGCACAACATAATAATAAATACGGTTTTCAAGTACTGACTTTTTGTAGGGACTTTGTTTGATTGGTTGGAGGATTCCATCATAAGCTGACATCATTTACAGAACCACTGAAAAACCAGCTGGGAGTACTGGACAGCTGTTTTGTCCTAGTTTAGGAATCTTCACAGTACTCACCCACCGACAGAGTTCGAACTCAGGACCTTTCAGTTACAAGGCGAGTACATAGACCATTAAGCGACAATTATTAAAAACAAAAACACCATATCTCTTATCGTAACCCTAATCCCAACCCTAAACATAATCCTCACCTTAACTCCAACACCAATACTAATCTTAACCTTAGCATGCTTCCAACACATTATCCAAACAGTACTTAAAAACGAAATCGGGATGAACGTCACACCTCGCTTTGCATACAGTGTTCATACTGGCTCTCTAATAACAGCGGAGTCTGTGATCCAACAAATGTTATGCGTCCAAGTTCACTTGTGCATTCGCACCCCATGGTCTCTGTTCATCAAGTTGGCTTAGTAAAAAAAATTCGTTTTCAAGCTGGATAAAACTGTCAGAAACTCGCCTGATGAAGTAGTATTCACCATTAATAAATAGCAAAGCCTGAATTTAATTGGTGGATGGTGACTAGCAGTGGAATCCAGGATGAGCATTTCGTCCTATTTGGGACTCGTCATCCGGATGTGCCCGAATTCCCCAGTGAGTGATGATTTTCTCACTGAGGCTCGAACCCTGATGAAAATATTTAAAAAGTAAAAGTCTTTAAATGGTGATACAGATGTTATCATCTTCAAACCAGTGAAAACTTTCTTATTTCACATTGAAACACTCATCTTTTACTTGAATAATTATATTAGGCTCTGTTTATGAAAGACCTTATTAAATCTCTTTGCCACACGAGAAAACATTTCCTTGAAAATCACTCCATGTTATCTCATTCCTATTTGTTGTTTTTCTTTCAAAAAATTGAAAGAACTTTCAATAGCTTGGAAAAAATGAAACTTCCTTTCATTTTCTATCCCATATATATATATAGTCTGCTTTCATTTTATGTATTATTCTTTCTAACCAAATCCTTTTACAGAACAGGAGTTATCAAGTTAAACTTTAATTGGATGCTTTATTGAGAAAAAATTTATTTTTAGAAATTAATATTTCAAATGTTTTTTATACACTTTGGACTCTCCTGTTGATTGATTGAACCGAAGTGCTCGGCCTGTGTTGAAATGCCAGCTCCTTGGGCTGGATGGGAATGCGGGTGCATGCAGTTGACGAGTCCCAAATAGGACGAGGTTCGCATCCTAGTGGATTCCATTGCTAGTCACCATCCGCCACCAAATTACTTCAGGTTAAATGATCTGACATCGTCGATGCATTCTCGTAAGCAGCTAGCATGTCAGTCCCCACGTCGAGCACTTCGGTTCAATTAATCAACGGGTGAGTTCAACTGGAATTAGATAATAATTGATGCCTGTTGCACAGCAGGTGGCCTTTATGACCCGAGTGGTTTGGTGGATAACTCTTTGGCGTTTGAAGCGATGGGTACTTGCATCAAGCGTCAGTAGGAACGCTATCACTCATTGGGGAGTTCGGGTACATCCAGTTGACGACAAGTCCGAAATAGGGCGAAATTAGCATGCTGAATTTCACTACATGTCACCATCCACCAAATTAATGTTTTAATGTTTATCTGCTTACTCCTCTGGCTTTATAAGTTGTCTTCATAGTCTTCATGCAAGTTTAATTCAATCTGAGAATTATCACCTAGTCTAGGTGACCTGCATACGAATAGTTTGTGAAAGGAATTTCGAAGGTGGGAACAAACTAATTCAAGGAATTTTTTTGAAACAACACGGTACACCTATGAATAAAATTCACCATAAAACATGAATCAAACATGATTTTCCATTCCTGGATGTATTACTTACTAGAATACAAGACTACTCGGTTCAAAGACTAATATGAGGCAAACCAACGTGAAGTGGACAGTTTCAACTTTCAAAGCCTTGTCCTACTGACTCAAAACAAACCTCAATATATACCTTGTGCTCAAGGATTCGAAAAATCTATTCGGAAGATACTACCGAGAGTGAATTAAAAATCACTATATGAAACCCTACTGGAAAACGGGTATCCACACAAATTTATCGACGAAAATATTGTAAGAAAAACCTCCATCACTGAAAATTGCAACTGCTACCAAGAAAACTCTAGTCATGAACCTGGAATTCACAGATAATACTGAAGCAGAAATTCCTAGAAAACGCCTTTCTGAATGTCTGAAGATGTCTGAAAGATACGGTCCTGCTTTTGGCCACCTCAATATATATATATTTATCACTTTACTTGTTCATGTGGTGCAAAGTATATCCACCGTACATAACTTCAAGTTCACAAACTTATTCTGGAGCACTATCCACTTTAGTTAGCCAGAGGAAGAAAGAAGAATACTAGTAGCTGTATCCTAGGACACCTTATGAGTCGGTAGCACAGCGGTTATGACTGTCGCTGATTATGCGCATGGCCCCGGAGTTCGACCCCCTGCTGACATACACTTGATATTAATGATCTTCCTACTAAATTTGGGCTACCGATATCACATGCTGAAAATTCCACACTTGTATCAAAAATACTGTGTGGAGTCAAGCTATAATAAAAAAATAATAAAAATTCTGGACATCCGGCAACCTCGCATGACTGTTTCAGAGTACTACACAGAGTTCTTCAGTATAGCACGAAAGGATTTCGAATATGCCATCGATACATACCTGAACTATTGGCTATTCGGGATGTAAAACTGAACCTCTGAGTTCAAAAGCACTATATACATTCATTCACCTTGCCGCGGCCAGAGTAACATTCTTAGCATAATTTTGCTTCATTATATATATATATATATATATATATATATATATACCATTATTATTATCATTATCCTTATTTCACTACCACTCTATTATCATTTATTATTAACATTGCATTTTCATACAGATTTTAGAAAAGCACTTTGGGGTGTTTCCACTAGTTTTTGTCCACTTAGTACAGTCACACATATTAGTCATTTTTCACACTCATTACGTCATTTCAACTTCTGCCTCCCTTTTCTTATTTCCAATTAGTCATCCCCTTCAAAGTTACACCTCTCATTTTGTAATAAATTGATCTTATGAATTCTTTGATAAACATAAATACGATTGTACAACTTATTAAAATGAATAGCTGAGAAGAATGTTTTCCTTACTGTTTACGTCTTTTTCTTATGACTTAAACAAATAATTTGATCATGTCGAAGTGGGTGAATATTTCCTTTATCAAAAAGCTGGTGGGAAAAAAAGCCTTAAAACCAGAAATGAAGTGAAACAAACTGACGATGTAATCAGTGACGGATGAAATCCGAAAAGAGACTTAAAACTACTCAATAATGGGCGATAAAGTCGGCTCCCAGTGGCTGAATCGTCTACGAGCTCACCCTATAACCGGAAGGTCATGGTTTCGAACCCTGGTGGCTGCATGATGCCGATGATTCCTGAACTAGGATGAAACAGCTTTGCAATACTCCCAGGTCTTCCAATGGTTCTCTAACTGGTATCACCTCATGATGAAACCCTCCAACCATTCAAATGCAATCCCCACAAAACCAATACTTGAAAAGTCCTTCTAACAGCAGATATCCAGATTTACATATTTTTTCGAAATTTCATTACTCCTTATTTTGTTGTTTTTATAATTGATTGCAGCATGAAGCTTGTAATGTACGCAAACAAGTCTCTTACACCGGTAAGCTATCTCTCTTTCATTTGAGATTGTTAACTGTCATATTAATATATGTTTCAGATATTGAGTTCATTATTCAGTAAAAATAATGAATTGCTGGACTGTTTTATGCATAAAGTCTAATAATGAACGAAAATTTTAGGTTCTCATTACTCTTGTCTGCCACGAAACTAAACACAAACAGTAAGGCGAAGTGTGCTAGTTTCTTAATCAAAGTGCAATGCCTTCGAAACACCTTTCAGTACATGATGGTCGTTCTGCCTAATTCCCTTTCATAAAATCATAGCATTTCACATTAAGCCTAAAACATACAATGCTTTGTGTTATTGGTATTAGATGGTTGAAGGCCAGTCGAAAGGAAGCCCTTCCTAAACCAAGGTTTTATGCTAGTTGGCACCCATCAGTCAGCAATGTGTAGCTGCAACCTTTAAGAAACTCATTTCACTTCTGAGATTTGAACCCGCGTCACACAGTGCAGCAGTCTGAGACGTCACCGATTGCCTCCAACCATCTAATACCAACAATTTACAGTGCAGTTCACAGTGATGGTGAGCCACCTAGAATGGTGGCCACATTGCAAACTTGACTGATAGAATTCATTCTGCACCAAAGACAGGACTAGACTCATTACACTAGTTACTGACTGGTTTCCAATCAAAAATGCTTTGTCTTCCTACCATGATGGTCTCAATATCTAGTAGAAAAATTTCCTGAAAAAGTGACATGTCTATAAAAATAGGTTTTCGAAGAGCTTCAAACAATGATGTTGAATATTTTCGCTATAATTTGAAGTTATAGATTACTAAGTTTTATGCCTTTTAAAGAGGAAAACATGACCAATTGCAATCCTCAGTAAATGCATTTCATTCACGAGCACCACTGATATGGATGAACCGCAGTAAAATATATTAGGCTTGCTTTCTTGACTGTCATTATTCTCAGGTGTCAAGTAGACCACAATGTGTGGTCTAAAAATTTTCATTTTTAAAGGAAACCGTAATAATGAATTTTTACCTCGAAGTGTGTAATTTACAATTTGTGAATTTAATTCTCTGAAACATTTCAATTTCATCTTCCAAAGAACGGCTAAAGACATAACTGCCTCTTACAATAGACGCTATAGATTTATATGCAGTGTAATGTATACTTGGTTTGGACACTACCTTGTAACTAGTATCATGCGTCTAGTCCTTTGTTTCGTGCATCCTGAATTCTACCAGTTGAGATTGTTATGTGGTCATCATTCTAGGTGGCTCATCGTCATGGTCCACCATGAATTCTTATTATTGATGTTTGAGGGCAGTTGGTAGGAAGCCCTTCCCAGAGCGAAGTTTCGTGCTTGTTGTCTCTCATCAGTCAGCTAGGCGTACCTTCAATCTTCAAGGAACTCATGTCATTCAGTGATGCAGTCAGAGACATTATCACTGAGGTATTCAGGCTCGTGAAAGACCTCCTGCTGGACTGGACTGCATAATTTCATTGAACACCAGGTAGTAAATAACCAGTATCATGCGTCTGGTCCTTTTTTAGTATTGTGTTAGTTTTAGGAAGTCTACGCGTTTGCATTGCTCCACAAAAATTGTCAGTTGGCAAATAAAGTCTCAGAATACTTCACTGTGCAATAGATTATTTTAAAAAACACTCTTCACAAGATAGACTTTTGTTGAATATTGTGATTCCGTTTCAAAATCCATTGAGTGAAAATATATATCGAAAAATTAGTAGGATATTCTCTGATGTTTATTAATTAATTAAATATTCTAAAGCTGTAATTGTGTTTTCATGAAGAGATAACAAAGGGAAAATTTGTTCCAAGTCTGCTCACCGATTGATACCAGGTAGAGAACCACTGAGAACCGACAGGGAGTTCTGGACGACTATTTCGTTAGCCTGGTTTGGGACTCATCGGTAGTTTGCAACCCCATCGGGATTTGAACCCAGAACTTGTGGTTACAAATCAAATCCTTACAGACAAATTCTTTAAAATTGAATTGATCCTCTCTAGTGACTGGCTGCAGGACGAAGTCGCCTGCAGTTTCAGTGAGAAGTAATGAACAGCAGGGCACACTCTTTCAGGAGTGAAGACAAGTCCTCACCGATCACAATGGCTGGTAGTCTTGCTGAAATCATGGATTCTTAGAAGTTAGAATTCATGGGCTGGCTTGAAGTTTCGGTAGCAGTGGTGTTTATTTTCACGAGATGGGGTTGCTAGCATCATGCCCAACGTTCCCTCTTTATCAGCCTTATTACTGGCTTAGCGAGGTAAAGCAGTACTTCGGCCAGGGATCGAACCCTGGACCACCTGCGTGGTTGGCAAGCATTCTGCCACTGTGTCATCGACGCACTTTAAATTGGGTTGCAGTGGATGAATGGTCTATAGGCTTGACTTGTTAGCGGAATGTCCTGGGTTCGAACCGTGATGGGTGCGTTCATCTAATTAGTTGCAAACTAGCAGGAAACAGCTGTCCAGCACTCCTTGTCGGTCTTCAATAGTTCTGTGACTGATATCAATCCGTCATTAAACTTGGAACAAACCAAACCCTTACAAACTAATTCTTGAAAAGGAAAATTCATATTTCCCCGTTTAACCGACACAGATTTTCAAGTAAAGTAAATATCCATTTGACTTTTTCATAATATTTACCTGTGTTGCAGTCATAATTTAATTTTACTTCTATTTTTGATTTCCATTGTTTGAATATATACTGATCTTAGCAAATATAGCCCAAGTATGAAATGTATAGTCACGCATGATACATAGATCAACAAACAACAGAACGACTGGATTTCGTCTTCTAACACAATCTGATCTTTAAAAATTCAGGTGATCATATCCAGATTATTAATAAAAGAAGCTGTGGAAATGTCTTTTGCAAAAACAAAATCTCAAACAACCAAAATTACATTTCCATTTGTATCATAGTAATAATAGTAATAATAATAACAACAATTATTGTTGAAAGTTCCTTTTCTTTTTTATTCATATATCACACATATTCCTTTGTACAATTTTACATCTTATAATAAAAAGTGTTACATTTAACACAATTATAAACACAACAATAATGCAGTATGCAAGATAAAAGTAAAAATAAACTTGAACCAAAATGAGTCTTATTCACCTTTCATGTTTACTTTCTTCTGCATCGTTTACAAAGAAACTTTGAGAACTTTGAGGTTTCACCTTACATTAATTACACTGCCCTTTTTTTCACTGCAATGAGATACATACCCCTTTGAATATTGTGGGCCACCTAAGCAAATGATGAGAGTATGAAAATAATACCAAGGATAGAAATAAATCCCATTTGGGTTCACTGGCATTATAAGTTCTAGATGCTGACGTGCTGTGAGACAGCGGACTCTTTAAGTACCATTTCCATTTAAATCTCGATTTTTTTCATTATCAATATACATGTATTCCTATCGTTCAAATGAAATAAAACAACTTAATATATATATATTTCTTGTTTAATATAAAACAAGGTTATTTTTCTGACCTCAGGGGCATCAGAACTTTTGATTAAGCGAACGATGGAAAATTTTACTAAATGATTTGGTAGGGAAACAATACAAATAGTTCAGTTGGGTAATATTTAGATTTTTATGTACATTATTGTCAGAGGAGAAGCAACGTCTTCTGATTGGTTGTTTTCTTGCTGAAGGTTATTCTGTACTGATTGTAAGCGTTTCTCAGAAAGTTAAGCCATATGTCTGCAAATCATATTTACACACGTTAAGTTTGCTGTGATTGGTTGGTGAGTTCCTCAAGGTTAAGCTTTGTTAGTGTATTTTCTTCATGATACGGATTCGGGACGTAAACATTGACGTAAATTGCTGTCTACAGTTTTGGATTGCAGACAGCTCTTACCACACTACTACTACTAGTGAAACTTGAAACCAGTGATTAACAAAGTGACTGTCAGAATAGACAATAACATCATTATTATCTTACACGAACTGTGATTAAGATTTGAATGAATAGTAAGTTTCAAAATAATTCGGCTCCAGGTGAGAAACAGATAAATGTAAAAATTATATTTGTAAAAATCTCAGCGAAATTAAAATAACTATATCTAACCTAATCCCAGCGGATTATCCGAATAAATCTGCTGAAGAAGCTGCGGCTTACACGGCGAAATGTTCAGAAAAATCTTGTTTTGATTTTCTTAACACGCTGGGATTAATTTAAATAATTTATAATGAATCAATCTGACTCAGCGCTCAAATTATTCCAGGGAATTCGTAACACCTACGGTCTGGAAACCTATAACTATATCTAACGTTTTCTTCGACAAACTGGTTCGGATTTCTTCGGGGGAAATTAATTAACATAATATCACCAAAAGTACCCATTGAGTCATGAAGGAAGTGAAAGACAGATTCAGCGAAGAAAATTTTCTTTATCGACGAAATCATCTTCAGAGGCTATACAGTCGTATTTATACTTACAAAAACATATAGTGGTCTATTATTGAGTAATACGATGTGACATAATTGATATAATTACTCAGAAGTGGCTTTAGAAGTGAAAATTAAAAGTTTTAAATTACGTGGTACTCAACGGCACAAAGATAGAGATTTGGTAAGGTTAAAATTGCTCTTGAGTGAGAATAAAGGTGGTAGTTGAGTGTCAATTTAACAGGTGTGAAATTTACAGATGGAGCATATGAGATTGATAATAGTGAATTTATTATTAAGGCAAAAGTAAACTAAAAGTCAAATTAAAAAAGAAAAGCAAAAATCAAAATATTTTTACAAGGATTGATTAGTGAAGAGGTTAAGACCAAGGTAGAATAAGAGACTGGACAAACTTTTTCTGTATACAGAGTTCAGGGTTGTGTTGAGGAGCTGCCAGAGCCTCCACTATACACAAAAGCCGAAACCTGACGCCCTTTGTACCATTTGACTTCACTTTGTAGATGATATTGGAGGACGACTCAGGTGAAGCTACTTAGCCTGAGCTCATCAAATGCTCGAGAATTGAGCTAGTAACTGTCTTGCATTGTCCCTTTGCTAACCATGCCGGATAATGTTCAGAGATGCGTTTGGAAAGTGTACGCTTTGTGAGGCCAATATAACTAGCTCCACAAGAGCAGGTGTATTTATAAACACACATTGAGGTGGCCCAAAGCGGCGGTTTATCCTTCACACATCCATTGATCATTTGTCGGATGTAGAAATTGATACATAGCTCAGCCATAAAGAAGGCTTTCCTCAGTGATCTGCATAAGCGATTCTTCAGGATCTCAGCTGCAGTATCACCTTTAAATTCAACACTCATAAATAGCAGTTCCTTCAATACCGTCTGGGTCCTTTCAGGCTCTTCCCTTGACTTCATGTTTTTCTCGATAAATCTTGGAGGATATCCATTCTCTATGAGGAGTTGTCTGAGTCGCCCCAGTTCCCCGTCGATTGTATCACTTGAACATCCAGTCACTTAATCGAACTTGGTCTTAACCTCTTCACTAATCAATCCTTGTAAAAATATTTTGATTTTTGCTTTTCTTTTTTAATTTGACTTTTAGTTTACTTTTGCCTTAATAATAAATTCACTATTATCAATCTCATATGCTCCATCTGTAAATTTCACACCTGTTAAATTGACACTCAACTACCACCTTTATTCTCACTCAAGAGCAATTTTAACCTTACCAAATCTCTATCTTTGTGCCGTTGAGTACCACGTAATTTAAAACTTTTAATTTTCACTTCTAAAGCCACTTCTGAGTAATTATATCAATTATGTCACATCGTATTACTCAATAATAGACCACTATATGTTTTTGTAAGTATAAATACGACTGTACAGCCTCTGAAGATGATTTCGTCAATAAAATTATAATGACAACGATGTATATATATATATATATATATATATATATATATATATATATATATATAAGAGGACGCATCCTATCTTTGAATTCTTTGTCCAGTCCTATGAGGCATGAATAGACATCAAAACAAAATAAGCAGAACTGTATGGTATGTGATCAAAATTTGACCACAGATTTACAATTGTGACACGGCCAAGGTTCTACACAAAGATTCTGGTTTATACAAAGAATGACTAACCGCAGAAGCTCTACATAAATGCGTGAATCCCAAAAGTGTTAACAGGTGTGTGAAGGTGTGATGTTAGCTGATGCATAGCGAGTCTGGATTAATAAATAAATAAAAATGGATATGTATCACTAATTTTTCATGCTTAATCTAACTTCCCGATTGTCTGTACACCTGTTTATGGAAAGCCAAATAAATGATTTACAATTGTTCCCTCATGAAAACACACGCACACCATTGTTTATCGTATATATTTCATATTCACTTATCCATGACGGGCGATTTTGCGGCATATTACTTTTTGAAATGGCGCCACCTACTTTATCCAGTGGGGATATTAGGGTGTTTCAGTGAATAGCCCAAACTATACCAGCATGATTTTATGAAAATTCAATACTATACGTTTAATATTTAGACTTACTGCCTACTTTAATCGATTACAACATTGTGCAGACATCAGTACCAAGCAACCTTTCTTGATATAAGTGCATCAAATGTAAAGCAGTCCAAGAATATAGTGTTGTCCATAATATTTAAGCAGTAAAAAAGATCTTTTTAATGCAAAGTTCCGTTTAAAAAGCAAACAAAAATATAACTTGTCATTAAAGCACCAAAGCAACAGGTTACGACGCTACAATCAGCGGGGATATGCAATAAAGCCATTCATCCATGACCATGAACTTCAGTCGAACGTAATCACTAAAAATAGGTTTGATGTGAAATTACAGACAGTAAGATTTAGATATGATGGAGATTTGTAGCTCAGGTGGATGATTTTGATAGTTAATTTGCGAAGATTTCATCACCCTACTAGGCAACATCTTCAGCGAATACTTCAATTTGTTGACGTGAGCTTATTAATCATCTCTCCTGCCGATCTTGGACGTGATTAGCTGTTTTCGTGTGAGGGGATTGGGGGCGTCCACTTTGGCCAATGTATTCCTGGTATTCCAGTGAATCGTCAGTCAATAGACACATCGAGATAGACAAAATTTATCAACTGATAAGAAACAAACCTCACACACAAAGGGTCAAAGTTCAAGTCAAAGAAACAATCAGTTCCAATACAAGTAGCCTAGAGGGTGTGAAAACACACAAAAACAACCAATCACGTCCAAGGTCACCAAGAGAGATGATTAATAAACTCGTGGAGAAATCTAAAAGCTGACTTCATCAAATTGATGTATGCACTGAAGATGTTGCCTATTTAGTAGGGTGATGAAAGCTTCGCAAATTAACTATCCAGCTCAGAAAACACAACCACATCAAAATTACACACTGCTTACAGTGTTTAACAAAAGTGTTTATTTTTCATTTGGTGAAGTTATCAGCTTCATTCATAACCTCCCCTCTTCATTGGGCTTAATACCGACTAAACGATGTTAGACAGTGCATCAACCAAGGATCGAACCCTGGACCAACCATATGTGAGGTGTGGTTGACGAGTATTCTACCAATGAACTACAGACGCAATACAACCGCTTAAATGCAGGAAAAAAGTAATATGAATCCATAAGAGTTAACAGTCGGTCAATCACTACACTACTTCATACAAGTGTACTGAAACGAAAGCGCGGTAGGTTTGATTTGAGATAGGTAACATTCTCACCCGTATTTACATATGAATTTCAAAACACTATATCCCAGGGTATTGTTTGAATTCCCTCGTGGGATACAGTTTCTTAAATATTATATATATATATATATATATATATATGATGAATTTGCAGCTTGACAATAAGTTCGTTGAAATGAGTCGCTTCGCTTAACATTATGTTCTTAAATAATTTATGGCAAGAATTTTTTTAAGACTAACAAATCAATACAGAATACATCGTTAGTTAGAAGCACTTGGCTATTGCGAGATCCTGACTATGTACTTCATAAATTTTCCACATGGTTAAAAATGAATTCCTTAGACTATTTAGCCAAGCAGAATACACTCAGTTGTTACTTTTCCACTTCAATTACTACTTTTTTTCCAACTAATAAGTTTTCAATAATAATTTGGCTTTATCGAAGCAAAAAAACAGCATTTTTTGTTTATGGAACTGTATGAAACACCTAGAGGTAATTACGAAAGAAATTATGAAAGTTAGTATGACTGTGTATACCCTCGTCGATTGCATCGGATGTTCTAATGACTAAACGAGAAGATGGAACAGCACGTAGACGATTACATCGGAAACTTGTATAAACTGGGCAGTATACTTACTTCCTGAGTTTCATCCCTCTACAATACGAATGTGATTCGATTAGATATCTGGTTCACCGGGCTAGAGTTTAGTTGTTCAAGTGAAACCCTCAGAGAAGAACTCGGCAGTATTCTTAATCCACTAAGTAGAAACGGATATACGATGGAATTTCTGAATAAACACGT